TGCGGTGCTCCTGGTTCTGGCGAACAAGCAAGACCTTCGTGGTGCGGCGAGTCCAGCGGAGCTCATCGAGGCGCTGGATTTAGGGGCAGTGCGGGATCGCACTTGGACGTTGATGGGATGCAGCGCATCGACGGGTGAGTCGCTGCGGGAGGCGATGGCGTGGGTGGCACATAAAGTGACAGATGCGAAACCTGCATGACGCAACGTTGGCGGTATGCCCTGACTGAAGAGCTAGTATGAGTGTTGCTGTTGGTGCCTGGTGTGAATGCATGGCTCCACACAATCTACAGAGTCTATTCCCTCTCTTCAGTACACGTAAACAGTTTTCCTTCCGCACATGCGAGGCCAAAAATTACTCCTTGCCTTTTCGTCGCCCTCTGTCTCTCGGAAACCGATGTGTTTTTTTTTTTTGGATTTGCTTTCTGCTAGACATAACGGGAAGGGGAACAGAAGTTCCGCTGGCCGTCGGATTTTGCGCGTCCTATAGATGAAGCGAAATGTATATCGTGAGGACAGCGTGGCGCCCCCGCTGCGGCTCGTGCCCCCGGGGGCCACCCGCCAGGAGTCGCCCGGTGAGAATTGGTGGGACGTGGGAAACTGCAGCAGACCTCCAGCAGGGCGTCTCGCGTTGTCACCGGTGCTGCACATGGAGGAAGAGGCAGAGACGATGGGGCAGTTGCGTTGGGAAAACCGAGGGACACCCGTGCGTCGTGCCCTCGTTTGGCCCCCCAACGTGGAGGACGATAATATAGGTGGCGATAAGGGTCGTTGTACATTCGACAGCTCCCCATCACCGATGGTAGGAGCTGTGAGAGGCGATGCAACTACTGCTTCCGCGTCTTCGGTTGTTAACGGCGAGGAAGAGGTCTCTTCGGGGCGGCGAGCCGTGCTACTCTGTGCGAGTGGTGGTGATGGTAGTGGTGGCGGCGGCAGCAGCAGCAGCGGCGACAGCAGCAGCAATAGCAGCTCCCACCGTCAGGAAGTGAGTGGAGTCAAGAAGACGTCAGTTACTCACAGCGCGCATGTCACCCGTCACGAGGCCCCACCGCAGCCAGCAGGGACGACGTGTGCCATCGATCACGTCTGTGCATTTGCTCAAGTGATAGGTGGACTGCAGCAGGCTGTCCTGCAGCTTAGCGGGGAGGTCCGTGAGCTTCGTCTCACCTTTCAGAGTATGAAGGCAACAATTGTAAATGACAGCAGTGGGAAGCCTCCTCGATGTGATGTCACCGAGCCTGTGGTGGCGGTGCAGCAGCAGAAGCAGAAGCTTGGCGGCGCTGCCCTGTCGGCACCTAATGGCCTCTTCCAGCACCTTCGCTCTGCCGCAGTCACACCACACAGCTCTACCTCTTCATCATCTCTCGGTCAGAGTTGTGGAGCTCTGCCAGATGCGGATATTATCGGTGCTGTAACGGAAGGCCTTCAGGAGCTCGAGGCGCTTCCTTGGGCATTGCCACTTGGCCATCGCGTCGTGATTGAAGAATCCCGTCAGCAGGGTTGTGGTGGTCATGGCAACTGAGGGAAGTGGTCGAGGACGCGAGAAGGCAATGCTGTTTGTCCCGTGCAGCAAGGCTTCTCAATTTTCTTGTTTTTGGGGGGCATTTAAAGGGCTACATGTGCCTCTCTCTCTATATATAAACACTTGCCCGTGTATTTCACTTTGCTCCTTTCTTTCTTTTCACCCTTTATGCGTTGCACGGCACTACGGACGCCACATCTGATACGTCCACCGAAAGCGCAAGTGAATAAGGACACACAGTGTGGAAGGGTCTTTGAGAGCTACGAGAAAAACGTAAGGTTAGGGGAAGGAGAGTGTATTTTGTTGGAGGAGCGAAGATGGATTCCGAGGAGTCCTCCCCCGGCATCCCGTGCTGCGGCGCATCACTGTCGAACTCAGTATCCAACTCGACGCACCGCGGGGGCCCGGCGACGGTACTGACACTGGTGCCGACAGTGGGTAGCCGCGTGGTGCTCACCTCCAAACAGCGCGACCGGGACGCATTTATCTGGGAGGATAAGGAGACCGATTTGGCGTACATGCGCTGTGTGACGCAGCATATGCTGGTTGGGGACGTGCTGCGCGAGACGGACACGCAGTTTGTTGTGCGTTTCGACATCCCACACCACTGCTTGCCGCCAGGTCTCCGTGGAGGTGTGGCGTCACGCGAACCCGGTGCCCACCACCAATGCGAATGGAAGGAAGAAGAGGAGGAAGAAGGTAAAGCACCGGACGAAGAAGACAATGACGATGATGGTGGAAATGGCAACGCAGAGGAAAAGGGGTATGAGGGAGGAGAGAAAGGCAGCAGAGTTAGCACTGCTGTATTATCGCGCGGTGACCTTGATGTGGAGGGTGATGGCGCCCTCTCAAAGACCACCCGCTTTGTCGTGGGTATCGTCCCCGTCCTGACACTTTCACGTGAATGCATCTCGATGCCGACACCGCGTAGCAAAACAAAGATAGTGCACCCCCTGGGCGAGAAGGGAGAGAGAACGCGTTCCGACCGCACCCTCATAGCCATGCCGACGTCGTCACCAGAGCAGTTGTTGAGTTCTCATTCGCAGTCTATTGGCGCCGCGACAGTACAAAGTGCCATCCTCGCCAGTGAGCAGTCCCAGACCTTGCTTCGCGTGACCCTCTCAGTTGCAAAGCGCTGCTGCATGTCGCTGCTACAGAGCCTGCTGGAACAGCATGGTAAACTTAGCTGTGTGAGCACAGCTGTTGCGTGCCGCGAGTTCAAGTTGGCGGTGCAGCACGTTAAGGCGGTAATCGAGGCGCAACGAATTGTAGCGAAGCAACGCAGGGATGAGTACAAAAGCATGGCTGATTCCTGGCGATCGTCTCTCACGTGGGTACAATCACGCCCCCATGTTACGCACGCTGAGACAAGCCAGCGTATGGACGAAATTGCAGAGGAACGACGCACCCGCCTCTTCATGGTCTTCTGGCGGGACAGAGAGAGCACCTCATGCCTTGAGTTTCGGCCTCTTTCGTCGAGTATCAGAAACGAGGAGGAGCAGCGGCAGAGGGGCGGATGTAGCAACGACGGTGAACCAAAAATGATTGAGTCAATGGAGCTGGATCCAGTCGAGTTTGACAAGCTTCAGGCCTTGCAGTGCCAGTGGAGTGCTAGTGGCTCACAGCAAGAGTTCGCCCCTTTGTATGTTCTACTAAGTTTTTTGCATTTTCACGACTGTCAGTACCAGCAGTCTCTGGAGGATGCTGTGGTGGCCCTCACGCACGACGGGACGTGTGTGGAGGCGTACGCACGTGTGATGGCTGGTTGCATGGCTCTCGGCTCGGAAAAAGAGGCCCTCGTTGCTGCGGCAATCGCCTTAAAGCGGTGCACGGCTCTCAGCCCTCAATATGTTCGGCTTTCCCGAGTGGCGTGTGTCTGTGCCTTCTACCACCGGAATCTGGGGGAGCACAGTGGAGTTGATGTGCTCCCACGTGTGCGTTACTCCACATGTCTTGATGAAATGTGTTCTGTACGAGATGCGATGACGTTACCAAAGGTTCACCGCGCCGTCCGCCAGCCGCCAACCGTTCGAGTGAGGAAGTTTAGCTATTCCTGCAGTGCCCCGACAACAGTTATGTCCGTGGTCCCGCCAATGTTGCGCAGTCTCCTACCAGGGTCATCACCATCAATGGATTACTTCTCGCGCAATTTACGAGCGCGCGCTGCATGCAGTTTCAATATAGGCGATGTAGTCTTTTGTGAAGAAGCTTCTATCCAGGTGTTATTGTGCCCTCCGATCGGCAATGAGCGTGATGCATTGGTGACGACATCACCCTTTTTGAAAGATGACGATTCACGTGTGGAAGCATGGGCCTCGTGCCGGCTACGTTTTTGTGCCTATTGCGGGTACCCACTCGTGTCAAAGCAAGTGCTGTTGGCGGAAGTCTGCGAAAATACATCAAAGGCACTGGCAGACCGACTTCGGTGGAGCTTCAACGGGAAGGAACCGCTGCCCTGTGCGGCGGGATGCGGTGAACACTACTGTGGCGAGGTGTGTCGCAACCGTGCGGCGCTGGAGTACCACGCCGTGGAGTGCTACATGCTGCCTGTTGGAAGAAGCGACGAGAGTCACTCGCGGCGCGATCCAGCCGATGTAGGCGAGGCTAAGAAAAGAGTCAGCGCCCCACCCACCTTTCCGTCCACTACGCTGGAAAGCTACAGTCACCTGACAGAGCTCTTTCCCTCCGCAACGATACCACTGGATCGACCAAGCGTGCATCAGCTTGTCAGCATTCGTCGCCGCGGCATGCGTGGCAGTTACTCTGAGTGCGAGGAAATAAGCGCCGAATCACAGTTCCTGGACACGCGACACGGTTCAACAACGTCGCACAACGCCGATCGCATGATGGTGGAGCGTGAACAGCAGTACTCCAGAATGCTTGAGGTGTATCGCCCTGTCGTTCGAGGTTTTCGGGCTGCCTTCAAATCTCATTACGCGGCGGTAGAGGCAGCCATTCTCGAGAAGGCACCAAACGCCATGATAACAGCGCTTCTTCTTGTGGGCCGGATTGTAGCAAACATTCTGTCACTCTTCTTGCCTCCTGCTGCCATGAAAGACACCATTTCCTCATGGGAGGCGGATGGTTTCGTCGGGTCTGGATGCTTGTCCCGCGACCGTTCTAGTTCCATAAAGGCGATTGTCAGCCAGTACGTCTCGAGAGGGTTCACCAGTAGCGGTACGTCGCCATCAGACCGTCACGACGCGCACGGCCTTTGCCTGGCAGAGGAGGTGTTACACCAGATAAGAGTTCCGTTCTTCGCTGACACAAACTTGGCTCAGCCAGCCACTGTGTGGGAGTTACTGGGCGAGAACCCCACAGATGGCAAGAAGGTGAACGATGACACCCCTGCAGCAACAGCGGCGGTGGCGGCGACAGAAAGTCTTCCACGTGGCTTCGATCGCACTGTAAAGCTGCTGCGTTCAGTCGATGGTATCATTCAAAGTGGCTTGTGCAAGGAGGTGGTCGCGTTCAGCCTATCTGTGAGCCCCGACCCCGGTCAGAGCTTCGCCTCCGGGGGAGGTGCTGGCAGTCGGATGTGGGCAAGGAGCCATTCTGGCGAGCCGGGTGATCCACGGACTGAGTCGTGCAGCAGCGGTCACCATTCCACATATCGACCGCAAATGCTCATGGATGCAGGGGCACTAGCGGTTTGGTTGGTGGAAGAACGCAATGAGTTCCGATCACAAGCACCACATCATCCCTCAGTGTGGACCTTTGGGCGGTTGTTAGGCTTCCTTGGGAAGCGGCGTCTTATAGAACAACTGTGGGACTTCTGTCTCTCAAGTCACTGTGTGGTGCCCAAGTGCGTGCTCACGTTGGGGGTCGACAGAGATATTCCTGAGCACCATCGTGAGGGGTGGGAGCGTATCTGTCGCCGGTACACGGTGTCGGTAGCGGTGATGAGCCCGTTGACGAGCGTTGTGTCAGACCTAACTGCAGTTGGAGGAGATGTGTGCTCCCGGTTTTTTGCCGATGCGGCCCCAGACAGCCCACGGAATCCGCTTTTTTTCCGCAAGGTTGAGTCGCCCGCGACGTCAGTGCTTTCTATCAACTCCCTTACTTATGAGCCTGATGAACAGCACTCACGCGGTGGAGCCTACAACACTAGTGGAAACGACGTAAAAGCGTCGACATTCGTAGAGAAGCACATGGCTACGGCCACAACTCCTGGCAACCTGGAATCGTGCACCAATGGCATGTTTAATCGTTCGGGGGAGCGTTGCGTGATGATGAGGGCGCGGCGCACGATCACTACAGGAGAGGAGCTCCGCTACGAATGTGGTCCGTTATAAGAAATAAACGGGCCTTTCATTAGGCTTCTTGCGCTCGCTGCCGAGATTTGGCAGTGCATGGGGTGGTGAGGTCCCCCTAAGCTGTGAGATGTAAATTACTTCATACTTTTATATACATAATGGCATGTTCCCTCCTTCACTTGTCGTCATCTAAAGTGACGGCGGGGACTTCCACGTTTCTGAGAACATCGATATAAGCGACTGTGCCGCTTTGTTTGAGTGACTTTGTGTGTGTGTGNTTCTGCTTCATCGATTGTCTTTTTCGCCTATTAGTGACGCTTATTAATTTTTTTCCTCCTGTGGAAGAGAGAAACGTGCAGAGGACGACGAGAAGGGGATGGTACGGCGGATGTCCCCTTCTTGTCGATGTCTCTTTTTCTTCGTCCACGAGTGATAGCCACCGCCCATTTTCTTTGCTTTGTGGCATGTACTTGTCACCGTTTGTAAATCTTGCGAGTCCGTGTGTGATAAGTTGGCGGCTTCCACTGTTTCCCCCTCTAAGTGTGATTCGCACGAAATCAACGGAAAGAGGCGTCGTGTCAACCAGCTTCCAACTTCTTCTGTTTCCATCCTTGGTTATTCTCCAACGTTCATGGACGAGCTCCCGCGGTGTATTCCTTTATGTATGCACACACATATATATATATATATATGCATACATACAAGAGGCCGTTGCGGGGATAATTCAACAAAAGTGTAGCGCGCCCATGGCGGCCACTCCGGCAATCCTTAATTGTCCTGCTGGGAAACGATGTGCAAAGAGACGTCGGCGTTACCTAACTCTCGTCATCTTGCTGTTTCCGTTACTCCTTTTAGTGGCTTCGTTCTTCGTTGAAGAGCAAGTGCTGGAGGAAAATAATCGAGGGGGCCACTGCAGGGAGACAGCAGACGGACGCTGCGCATTGCCCATTGGGGCAGAACCCGATCTGGCTCCGTGGTTGGAGTCCGTCCTTCAAGCGCAAGTGCTGCGCAGCACCTCGGCTAATGGGGGAGACTGCAGCTGGATTATGGCCCCTGAGGGGGAAACGATGCGGTTGGCTCCAGCGTGCGCCGTGGACGGCAGTGGTGCAGGGCTCGACAAGCCACGCTGCTCGAGCCAAGATCTGGCTGCTGGGAGTTTGCAAGTTAATGGAGGAGCCACACGCGCGTGGTGCGTCACGAGAGGCTTCCAGCCCAAGTGCCACATTCAGAACATGATAGTGTCGAATGGAAACTTCTTCACTTTCAAGGGCGAAAATTCAAGTATACCAGCTAAACTGTTTCCTGCCGATGCGACGCGGGAGGGATTGGCAAGGTACCACAGATACCGTGGGCATCCGGTGCGCGAGTTCGTGCCTCTGGTAGAGCGCGGTTCTTCCATCTTGCACTATTGCAGATACGTGGTGAAATGGCCGGCGGTGTTTCTGTACCGCGCCAGCGGACACTCGACCTATCACCTATGGCTGAATAACTTGGGACCATTTTTCGCCACGTTGCATGATGACTTTAGAAAGAAAAAAGTGGTAAAAGAAAAAGGTGTTTTTGACGGCGAACTTCCGTTGATCATCGCGGTTGACGACAAGCCGCGGACTGGCCCCCGGTCACCCCTCTTGTTAAATGAGTTGTTGCACCATTTCACGGGTATACCGATACTTAACGCCTCGGAGTTCTCCGAACCTACGTGCTTCCCC